ACACAAAAACAAAGCAATTCTATTCTTAGACTAAAAATGTAATACAGTTAGAAATCGAAAATCGATGCTTAATAAGGTATAATTTAATGAGACATTTGATTCTGCTTATTGTGCCAAAGCTTCTACATGCCAGGTGATATATTCGTTGATGCCAGGAGTAAAACATCATCCAGGTGGTCATCATGCATCTTTGATCTTAAATAACTTTTAGTATTTTTCATTTTTCAAAAAAGATGTTCGCAAGGATATGTACTTCAAAATAATGATACCATATATTTTGCATTATTTGAGATGTTTTTATATTTTCCGCTTGGCAATACATATTTCATATAGAAGTCAGAAGTGGATTCCGGAATGAAATTTTGCTTTCAATAAGTCGTCAAATTTTAAGTCAATTAACTCCAACTGACATTCTTCTGCGACTTACTCTGTATCTGTTTCGTAAAGAGTACCAAATAATTTAAATAAATATTTAAGAGTCTAAAATATTGACCGATCGAAACCAAATTTTGGGTAGACGTGCAAAAGGTTAAAGCGGTATAAAGTACAGTTGTGCGTAGCTTAGTAAATAAATGTCCATAATTATTTTTTTTAATTAAAAGTTTCATTATTTGACATACAAAATGCTCCCACTATTTTAAAAACAATTTAATGATTAAAATAACAAATATTAATTTAACAGTGTGCGATGGATAAATTGTCATCTAAATTACGCAAAAACAAAAATAACACTGACATCTCATTTTTGAACAGATATATTTATCAAAATTACACACAAATATTGTGTTTACACAACTCGACCAAGAACTGGATGAGTGAAAAAAGAGAATTCAAGATGAAATTCACAGTATCCCAGCTGAGATGTTGCAGCAGTCAATGAGAAATCTCAACAGCAGATTTCAAGAATGCATTCGTACAGGAGGACGCCATCTACAGAACTTACTTTATAAAAAATGAAAATTCCATCATTGTTTTTTAAATGGAATATTTTAAGGTTTCAATTACTATGAATAAAATATTTTTCTTCCATCACTCTTGGTTTTATTGGATTGTTAAAAAGTTCCCGTTTTTTGGGGGTCACCCTATATTTCTTAAAAATCCTGAGCGCGTATCTGATTAAATGTAACTACAGATATGCGTAAAAAACTTCAACTTATACCAAATCTACCCAGATCCTTTTGCAGCTTCCAATTAACTGTATACCAGCGATCACATTTATACTGTAGGGTCCTTCTCTCCCTCTCACATTTACCCATATATGTTAATATTCGTAGGTCGTTTCACGTGCTAGCCTACTGGAATCGCACTAAAGGTCATTGTTGTAGCATACCTACGGACGATAATGGGTATGTCCCCATTCAAATAAATACAGTAGTAAATACTGTATGTTGGTCTGCAGTTGGAGATTCGTTTCCAGCTGTGCTGGTCAAACTCCCCACTTCTGGGCAGAGAGGATCCCCAGACGAGGCTATGTCAAAGGGCAGAGTGTCGTCTCGGGAAACAGCTAACCGACCCAGTTTTATACGGAGTCTACGGGAGTTTGGGGCCGAGACTACGGGCTTGGATTCCCCTACATTAAACTCTGCATTGTGCCACATCTGACCGCGTGGGGCGGTTGGTAGATATCCTGCAGGTGGTGATTCCATGTGGAATTCAGTTGACTCATTTCTAGCAGTTGACTACGCTGGTGAATCTTGTATATGTTGCTCGTGTCCTAAGTATTATCGTTCATTAGCAACCTTCGAGTGATTATTCTATTCAGTAACCTTCCATATGTTACAACAGTTATATATATATTTATTTTAAGCATTTCACCCCAAGCAACGTGTGTGTGCCACTAGCACGCAAGAGGTTACAGAGAATGAGGACAAGAGTAAAGAGGGGGGTGTTTGAGGAAAGGATAAAGAGAAGGACGGGGATCAGGATCAAGGCATCAGAAGTCGATTGATATTATATTTGAATTTTTGAAGATTATAGCTATCAGGGAAGCAAGTACGAGAAAGAGAGTTCCACTGCTGGGAAGTGCGACAGAAGAAGCTGTTGAAGAAGAAGTGGCGGTTACATTTAACTGATTCGACAGTGAAAGAGTGGGACCGAGATGCCAGACTAGTAGCACGCTTAAATTCATGCAGTTTGGGAACCAGTGAAAGTAGCTCGTCAGAGCAGTTGCCATGAAAATACTTGGAGAAAAGACAGAGAGATGCCATAGCACGAAAATGTTACTGCGGAAACAGAATTCAGGACATTATTTAAATATTGAATTGTCTGAATCCTTAAGGCAAGAAGAGTCACTTTTTAAATTAACAGTTTACAACGCTTTGGGGAGGGGGTCAAGCACATTAAAACGATTGTATTCATGCACGGTTTGCAGATATCTTGAAGTTGGAGATTCCTTGTGGAATTCACTTGACTCATTTCTAGCAGTTGACTACTTCTACGCGCCACTGACGAATCTTGTATATGTTGCTCGTTTTCCAAGTATTATCGTTCATTACCAACCTTCGCGTGATTATTCTATTCAGTAACCTTCCTATGTTACAACAATTATATATATATATATATATATATATATATATATATATATATATATATATATATATTTATATTAAGCATTTCACCCCAAGCAACGCGGGAGTGCTACCAACACGCAAGTGCATGAATATAAACGTTCCCCGAATATTTGACATATTCTCTGGCAGTGCAAACGATCAGGTAAAACTGAGTTAATAGCCTTCCTCTAATATTGCTTTCAATGTGCAACATCATTAAGGAAGATGTCGCTTGTACTCCAGCTAAATTGCTATTTGCAGTTTTACTGTCTCTCACTGGAGAATTATTTACGGAGAATACGATTACGTATTCTATTTCCATGTTCATAATCATCGTCACGTCCTCTATGTAGCATGTCTTGGGAAAAGTAGACCTGACGGAGCCCGTTATTCTTCCAGGTCAGGCTACATTTGAAATCCTCCGATATTATAAGCTCGTCTTGGTTACAAATATGTGGCTATTGATTTCATCAGGAGAATCCTACAAATCTCTCCGCTTAACAATGAAGTGTTACCACCAGCCAATAGTTCAGTTTCATGTACAGATTTAGCCAACATATACAGAACTAAAATATAAAATACCCATACTAATTTATGTGTGTATTTGTATGTGTGAAAACATTGGAATCAAGTGTTTTATATTTATCCTCAGAACGCTACCAGAAAGAGGAATACAAATGCAGAAGGCCGCATACATATATTTTATAGATTATGCAATAGGATTTGATAAAGTATAACACAAATAACTATTTGAAATGCAAGGTAAGCTTGATTCATTTGGGAAAGATATTATAATAATCCAGAATTTATATAATGGTGGGGTGGGGGCAAACTGCCTGCGTATTAATAAAAATGAATTGAGTAGGTTATCAAAAACAGAAACCTGCGTAAGACAAGAATCTGTCTTCTTATAGAGTGGGGGGCAAGCTGTCTGCGTACTAATAAAAATGAATTGAGTAGGTAAACAAAAACAGAAACCTGCGTAAGATAAGGACGAGTCTTCTCGCCGGACTTATTCAGATTTACAGGGATGCGGTCCTGAGAGGATTCATTGTTGGCTGCCAAAATCTTAGCACTACAAGATATACAAATGCCACAGTATCCATAGCAAGCATAGAAAGAAAAAAAAACATAAAAAATGTCTTCAAATAATTGTCGGATTTTGTCCATTCCATAATGTGTGACGTTATTTACATTTGGATACACATCGAGCAAATATGAATGTACGAGAGAAAATGAACTGTAGTTTAAAAACAGTAAAATCGACCTAGCTAACCGAAACGCTTCTCTGTAGCTAAATCGGTAAATCACGTCAGGCTATATGACGGTTCCGTATAGGATACAGGTTCGATTCCTTTCTATGAAAATCTCTCGGACATTCAGGCCGGTAAATGTCGTTAATACTGTTTATTATAAACAGAGCATTTACTTAAATATTTGTATCTATAAAAAGAACGTATAAACATAGAAAATGTCTTCAAATAATTGTCAGACTTTGAGAAAACTAGAGGAACTCTTACGGATGAAAATAAAGGAAAGCGAGATGAAAGGACTAAACATAAATTATAAAAAGACGGGATGTATGGTTGTCAAAAAAGGTACAACTCAAGAGGCGAACTACGAATTGGAAACATATGAATAAAACAAGTCTGAAAAATAAAATATCTAGGGAGTGTTTTAACAGAGGACGGAAAATGTGACGGCAAAATTCGAAGGGGTGTTGGAGTAACGAAAGGTGCCTCCCAAAAGCTAAGCAAAGTATGAAGAAACAAAGAAAATTCGTTACAAATTAAGAAAAGAGTGCTGAATTGTTATGTAATATCGGTTTTTTGACAGTGAATGCTGGACAATCTCCACACAAATTAAGAAGAGGCTTAAGGCAATAGAAATGTGGATCTACAGAAGGATGCTGGGAATATCATGGACTTAACTTGTGAGCAAGGACGAAATTTAAAGTAAAGTGGAAACAAAAAGTATTCTTATGCTTAGAATCAGAAGGAGTCATTTGGAATTTTTAGGGTGCAAAATGAGGAAAAGGAGCTTGGAGAATTTGACACTTATAAGACATATGAAAGCCAAGAAGGATGGAGTTAGCAACAAATAAACTCCTTAACAATTTTGTGTAAATGGCCGGCATAACATGGATTGGGAAATGTAGAAAAAAACTTATTAGAGCTACAACTCTCAGAAATTTGTGGGGAGCCATAATCGCGCACGACCTGAAGAGACACAACACAAAAAAGAAGAAGAAGAAGAAGAAGAGGAGGAGGAGGAGGAGGAGAAGAAGTAGAAGAAGAAATCTGTGGACAATATTAAAAAAAATAAAAAAGATAAAAAGGAAAAAAGAAAGATAGGATTTTCCATACTGATTTACTTGGAAAATTGACGCAGCATAATCTTACCACTGAGGATCGAAATCGCTATCAAAAGATTTCAAAAGCAACACGAGTTTATGGCCACATCACATTGAAACACTGGTTCACGTACGATCACCGAAGTTAAGCAATGTCGAGCCAGATCAGTACTTGGGTGACAACTTTAGAATAACAGGTGCTGTAAACTTGTATGTGCGGGTGGTGTAATGGATAATGGATCGGAATTGTTAATCAGAGCGCCGAGTTCCAATTCCTGTTGGGTTCGTTATATTCACTTAAGTTCTCCCCACCAACTATGGGTTAATTACTAAGACTTGTATCACTAAACCAGTATTACCTTAAAAAATTACAATCTAAAAATATTTTCTGGCTTTAAATAAACTATAATAGGTTGATAAGCCATAAAAAAATCAATCAATCAAAAAAAAGCAACACACTATAAAAATCTAGTTTAGTAAGGCCAAGTGAAGAGAGAATGAAAGCTAGAAAACGTGCATAGCACCCGTCTACGATGTTGGAAAAACTTATTTGTCTTGAAAATGAACATTGGACATTATGGTTTTTATCTGAGTTTGAACACTAATTTGCAACCACTAATCAAATTTTTCCCGTATTAATATAGATATATTTTGAAGTTTGGCACAAGGTCAAATAGGAGGAATGTGTGGGTGGAAATATTATATTACGCCTATTTTCTAAATGAAAACGAACTACTTAGGTTGAAAATCAGCATTCGAACTTATAACAAAAGCTGATTAGAAAAATGCAAGTACAGATATACCTCACCTTACGTCATTAATTGATTCCGGAGGTCACGACTTAGGTCGAAAAATGACTTAAGTCGAAATAACCACACTATAAACCGCAAATAAGCACACCCCATTGCCTATTACAATATTTATGATATGTACGTACAGTATTCTGAATACAAATAATTAATTTCCACCTTATCTTCCAGCGATATAGCCTTACGCTTAGCATTAGCACTTGCACTTTTCTGCGGAGCACCGGGCAAAAATGTATTTTAAATTGCAACTGAAATGTAATTGAAAGAACGTCAACAGCAGAGCACAGATGTAAACAAGTCTGAATTCAAAATCGGTGTTAGAGCGGAAAACAGCTCATGAGTGCCACCTGTCGGTAGGAATTTGAAATATGAACATCTGCTGAAATATTTTATACTGATATAGATAACTATTACGTCACAACTCCCGTAACTCATTATGGTTATAGGGGAGTCATATGTACTGCAGCTATAGCAGTGTTGGTGCGTCTAGTGCAACATAGCCTTGAGAGAGTTCATTCCTTTTCAGACTGGTTTTGAATTAAGAGTTTTCCTTCTCTTCGGCTGGTTGCCACCTCAAGGCAAGAGATCCCAGACTATTTAATCCATAGGAGGGTAAATGTGGATTTATATCTTTCTCAAGAGTATTTGTGCGGAAGTAAACGTAACGTACTCGGCTGGAACTCGAACGCAGTTCGCCAATTTCTTTTTCCGATTCACTAACACTTGCACTACCCACACATCCTAAAGGCAGTTGACTTTATTTTAAATGTTTATCAACGATGGATTGGATCGAGCTTAAGAATAAATATAGCCATTTTGAGCATCCGTAAATTTTTCATACCAAACACTATCTCTAGTTAACGTATTCACACGTTTCTAAAATCCCAAAACGCGATTGTTGCATCAGATTGAATTTCGCTCTTGTTTACAGTACAAATATCAAGTGTTAGCGTTAATTTTCCAAGGAGTGGACCATGTTGCTGGTGAAGCAGCAACCGCTTGATTGATTTATTAATTGTAAGAATACTATTTGAAGCAATGATCAGTACTACACAATGGATTTTTAAAAAGCTTCCCAAAGGTGACGTCAATCAAGTGTCGAAGGATGACGACCTTGTCGAGGAGTAGCCGGTTGCATCGTCTGTTCACATAATTGCTTTTCAAATTCGTGCTGAAAATAGAGAACGTCTCTTCGCAAGCAGATGAGTTTCTCATTGTTCGCAGTGCCTACGGATTTTCAACAGAAAATAAAACAAAACATATTAGGAGAGTTATTTTGCTGCTGAGGTGACATTTTAGCGCATAAAAGAATTACGGTTCGAATGAAGTGTCCGAAAAAATAAATTTTAATGCGATTTGCCTCTAGCCAGGCTGAGTAGAGCAAATTCTGTAGCATTGGTTGGTAACTAGATTGGGTGCAGGGCAATTTTGAATTAAAAGCCTCGGAGAAAGCAATAGTAAAACATCACCCCACTGTATTTTCCAAGAATAACTAAGGTTATGCTCAGTTTACAAATATTAAAAGTTTCGATCGCCTAAGACCTGAAGGGATAAGTCGGCAAACATTTGTGTTTACAGAATAAACGAAATGTAAAAAGAACGTTTTTCCCTTGACATTGCTATTATTTCAACTAACTTCACTCTCGGAAACATTTATTGCTTTAAAATGCGATGATTAGAAAACCTAAGCATATGATGAAATTGAATTTATACATTTGTTTTTTGTTCTTGAGAATTTACAGCAAAAATATTAAATACTATTTAGTTATTAAATTATTTACAATAGTCATTTTACATCTACAACATTCTAAAAACTAATACAATTAAAACCAATGCAATATTTACCAATTTATAAAGAAATAAATATGAATTTTTTTATTCATAAAGTTATAAACATTTTCTAGATTATTAAAATATGTGTTAATATAGATGCCTATAAGAAAATCCTTATTTAAAATTTTATAAATTTTGAATCATTTGACAACCGATGTTTTGCTTACCATTCCAATGAACAATATGATAAATACTGTTTATTATTTTTGTTGTCAATTCTCAAGAACTCACATTCATATGTTTGCTTTATTACAATTCTAATTAACGCTTTTTCAAACAATAAACACTTCCGATTTGAACAGAGATAGATAGATAGAATTAAGCCAAAGTCATAATGAATCAGATTTAAGACAGTAGTTAGTAACATCTATTTGCGTGATAAGAAATCATTTCAAATAACAAAAAAGTATGTAGAAACAAAACTGTGTTTTCAAAAAAAAAAAAAAAAAAATGTCCTGTAGCTGTGATGGGCACGGTGACTGCGACATGAGTCCGGAATCAAGGGGCCAAAACTCTGGAATATATTAGCGATGTCTGCTTGTTCAAACAATGTCACTGCTCGACATGGAGAGGCGACTGGCAAAGAAACTGCAAGCTCAGCTGGGGGCAGGAGGGGTGGTTTTATATTTCGCAGATGCACAAAATCTAAACATTGAGGTTTTGTTATCAATAACTCGTTTCATAAACTGCTGGCCTTTGTTTTATGCTCTCCGCACGATGTTAGCAAACAAGAAAATTTAATCAGGCTTTTAAACTAGCAAAATGAAACACCCGGATTCTTGATTGTCAAGAGGAAAACAATCACGTCTTCAAACAAAAATATTTTTTCTTTTTTTAAATTCTCTTCTTTCTGGGTTGAGAGGTACTCAATATTTTAAATTTAATTTTTGCAATCACGTTCAGCATAAACGTTAATTGAAAAAAAAAAAAAAAAAAATCAGTAAGACGAAATTTTAATAAAGTAATATGGCTGGACACGTGATGATTTTTTTTTTTTTTTATTTCTTTAACATTTAAAAGTAGGAAAGGTTACATAAAAGTGTTCAACAAACGAATAAAAAACGAGAAAAATAGCTTAAATGTTGTTCAAGGCCCGGAAGCCATTCAAGGCAGCCGATTAAAGAGTAAGAAGCACCGTTTATGTGAAGATGAGAAGATATGTGAAAACGGTTACACTAAACGTGAACAGATTAAGATTGTAGTTATCGGAAAAACATCCTCCTGCAAGTCGGTTCCACAGAGCAGTGGTTCGCGGGAAGAGGCTGCTCGAGCGGAACTTCTTATCAATGAATAATGGCAGGAATGAGGATGGTTCCCCCACAATGCGGGTAGCATGACGGGTCTAGCCATTGCGTTTAGAACTGGTGGAACGAAGGACTGCAGTTTGCCGAGCACTTTCCATGGATAGAGGGGTTGCAGGGTAGAAAATTTGTCACCCACAAGGAGTCGGAGACTCTTTTGGACTATCGAGACTGGAAAGTGTCGTCTGGGTAGCATCTGCCCAAATAGGGTACTTACTGAAGCGGTACAGGGAACCGGCCATTTTTCTTGCGTCTTTAGCGATGAATCGTATGTACGAGGTCTGGGTTGAATTTGAGGTTCAATTAACGCTCAAGGCAGGGGGGGGGGCATAAATTGCATACGTAAATGATATCTTAACCATTTAAAATTATAAAAATAAAGCGAAGCCCTGAATAAATAATTTTACATATCGTATGTGAAACAGGCTTCGCGTTCTTATTTATGGATGTGGCATTTGTTGTGTTACCTTGAGACCTCGCATCACGCCCTTTCTCAGCTTTCTATACACACCGACGCGATCAAGGATTGAAATGCGACATGGGATAATTATTAACCATTCAGTGGGTTTGGTTTGGTTTGTTTTACGGCATATCAACACCTCAATGGGTTATTTAATGCCGACAATTTTTGTTGCTGGTAATTTTTTTTCTTTTTCAAAAATGTATTGCTGGTAATGTTTTTCTTCAAAAATATATTTCCGAGAATATTTTTCCTGCCAAAAATCTATAGCTCGTAATATTTAAAAAAAAAATTATAGCTTTTTGTATTGCTGGTATTTTTTTTAAAAGTATGGCTGATAATTTTTCCTTCAAAACTTATTGTTGGTAATTTTTTTCCCCTTTACAAAGTATTTCTGGAATTAAAACCTATTTTTACACAAGTTTGAGTGTTAACTGCTTGCACATAACTGGGACCCTAACAGTTGCTACCAACACGGGTCAGGGTGGACCTAGGAACACCAGCAATTAAGAGGTGGTTCCACGCTCCTCAAAACCTCAGATCAGAGGTCTTGTTGTTGGGTGTAGTTTATCGTCTTACCCAAGACACGGATGTAGTTTATCATCATACCCAGGACGGTATTCGGTGGGAGAGGGTTGCATTGTATATTTACATATATATAAATGTGTATGTGCGTGAGAGTTTGTAGGGGGGGGAAGATCTGATATAATACAAGTCCTAAGTATCTCCTACCAACGCACCCGAACGAGCAGGTGTGCGTGGGTATGTGTATACTGTGGACACCCACGTTGAAAGGGAAGAGG